AGTGTAGTGCAATCCTTCAAAATAAACTCCCTCCAAAGTTGAAGGATCCCAGAAGCTTCACCGTCCCATGCTCTATCGGAAAAATCAGAGAGGTAAAATCTCTTTGTGATCTCGGAGCTAGTATAAATCTTATACCTCATTCTCTCTTTAAAAAGCTTGGTGTGGGGGAACTTCAATCTACAACGGTTGCTCTTCAATTGGTGGATAGAACAATCCGCTATCCATTGGGGGTTATGGAAGATGTTCTAGTCAAGGTGGGAAAATTCTATTTTCCGGTAGATTTTCTCATTATGGAAATGGAAGAAATGGAAATTCTAATTATTCTTGGAAGATCATTCTTAGCTACCGCCGCCGCCCTCATTGATGTAAAGAACGGAATTGTTAAATTCCGGGTGGGAGAAGATGAACAAGAATTCCATGTGTGGGATTCGTTGAAGAAACATCATGATATCTCCGCGTGTTTTAGTATTGACATCATTGATATTATAACTCGGGAGATGTTTGAAGGAGAACTTCACCAAGATCCTCTTGAAGCACGTCTTACACTAGGACATACCGAAGAAGAGGAAAATTCTGAAATTTTCCAACAAATGATGTTCTTGCAAGGTGAAGAAACCATTCATAGACCTTACCGGAAAAGATTTGAAGACCTTGGGCAAAGGAAGTCCATTCTCAAACCATCAAGTCAAACTCCTCCAAAGCCTACTCTCAAACCTCTACCAGTACATCTCAAATATGCATTCCTTGGCGATGATTCTACATATCTGGTGGTAATTTCCTCTACTCTTTCTCCTTTACAAGAAGAGAAATTACTCCGAGTATTAAGAGCTCACATATCATCGATAGCTTGGTCCTTGGCGGATATCAAGGGTATAACCCCAACTCTATGCATGCATTGGATCCTCTTGGAGGAAAATCACAAACCAATGGTAGAACATCAAAGGAGGCTCAATCCAAATATGAAGGAGGTGGTCAAGGAGGAAGTTCTCAAACTCCTTGACTATGATATCATCTATCCCATATCTGACAGCAACTTTGTGAGCTTCGTGCAAGTAGTCCCGAAGAAAGGAGGAATCACCATTATAACCAATAATAAGAATGAATTAATTCCTACTAGAATGGTTACCTGGTGGAGGATGTGCATTGACTACCGAAAATTGAATGCCGGCACAAGGAAAGATCATTTCCCCTACCATTCATGGATGAGATGCTAGAGAGAGTGACCGGTCATTAATTCTATTTTTTCTTGGATGGTTTCTCTGGCTATTTTCAAATAGCTATTTCACCCGAAGATCAAGAGAAAACCACCTTTACTTGTCCTTTTGGGACATTCGCTTACCGGAGGATGCCATTTGGACTTTACAATGCACCGGGAACCTTTCAAAGGTGTGTCATGGCTATCTTCTTGGATATGGTGGGAGATTTTATGGAGGTATTTATGAATGATTTTTGCAGTTTTTGGAAACTCATTTGATACATGCCTAAATAACCTTGAAAAAGTACTCATCCGTTGTGAAAAAACTCATCTTGCTCTTAATTGGGAGAAATGTCACTTTATGGTGACCGAAGGAATTGTCTTGGGGCATAAAATCTCCCCACAAGGCATTGAAGTTGATCAAGCTAAAGTGGAGATTATTGAAAAATTACCACCCCCTCATTTGGTAAAAGCCATAAGAAGCTTCTTGGGGCATGCCGATTTTTACCGGCGATTCATCAAGGATTTCTCAAAAATCGCAAAACCACTTTGCGATTTACTTGCCAAGGATGCTACTTTTGAATTCTCTCAATCTTGCCTACTAGCCTTCAACACTCTCAAGAAGGCTCTTACTACGGCTCCAATAATTATTTCACCAGATTGGCCTTTACCATTTGAGTTGATGTGCGATGCTAGTGACCATGCCATTGGAGTTGTGCTTGGTCAAAGAAAAAAAGAAACTTCATGCCATATACTATGCATTGAGGTTACTTCATGATGTGGAATTCAACTATGCAATAACGGAGAAGGAGTTTCTAGCCGTCATCTATGCCTTTGACAAATTCTGGTCTTCTCATTGGCCAAAAGGTGATTGTTTACACCGATCACTCCGCCATCCGGTACCTTATGAGCAAAAAGGATGCAAAGCCACAACTAATCCGGTGGGTGCTATTACTTCAAGAGTTTGACCTTGAGATCCGGGATAAGAAAGGAAGGACCTTGAGATCCGGGAAGTGAAAATCTCGTTGCGGATCACCTCTCTCGCCTTGAGCCAAATGCCACTACTAATATGGAGGTAATTCATGATGATTTTCCTTATGAACAACTTATGGAGGTGAAGAGAGTTCCTTTACCTTGGTTCACAGATTTTGTGAATTATCTTGCCAAAAAAATTCTTCCCCAAGAGCTCACTTTCCATCAAAGGAAGAAATTTTTAAATGACGTCAAGCATTATTATTGGGATGAGCCCTATCGTTTCAAGCATTGTGCCGATGGAATTATACGACGGTGTGTCCCAAATGAAGAGATGTTATCTATCCTTGATCATTGCCATAATCTTCTTTGTGGAGGTCATCATGGCCCGGACCAGACCGCGGCTAAAATCCTCCAATGTGGAATTTTTTGGCCGACACTTTTCAAAGATGCAAGAAGCTTTGTCCTCGCTTGTGACCGTTGTCAACGCACAGGAAATTTGAGCCGGAGGAATGAAATGCCACAAAATATGATTCTTGTGGTTGAAATATTTGATGTATGAGGAATAAACTTAATGGGTCCTTTTCCTAACTCTCATGGCAAGGAATACATCCTTGTTGCGGTTGATTATGTCTCCAAGTGGGTGGAGGCCATAGATCTACCGGATAACACCGCCAATCGGTGGTGGAATTTGTGAAAAAAACATCTTCTCAAGATTTGGGGTTCCTAGGAGTATCATTAGTGATAATGGCACTCATTTCAAGAACGCTCATTTTGCCGGTCTCTTAAAAAATATGGGTGCATGTTTAAAGTCGGTGCCACTTACCATCCTCAAACTAATGGTCAAGTGGAGGTCTCCAACCGGGAAATAAAATTCATTCTTGAGAAGACGGTCAATTCTTTGAGGAAAGATTGGTCTTTAAAGCTTGATGATGCCTTATGGGCATACCGGACGGCCTTTAAAAGTCCACTCGGTATGTCCCCTTTCCGGCTTGTTTATGACAAACCATGTCACCTCCCTGTGGAACTTGAACACAAATCTCGTTGAGCTATCTCCCAACTAAATCTTGACACTGCACTTGGAAGGGAGAAAAGGATGCTTCAACTCAATGAGCTAGAAGAGCTTTGAAGGGACGTATATGAGAACTCCTGCATCTATAAAGAAAATGCCAAAGTTTGGCATGACAAGAACATCAACCGGAGGGACTTCTATGTTGGGCAAAAGGTATTACTCTTCAACACAAGACTCCGTCTATTTCCTGGAAAACTAAAATCCCGATGGTCGGGGCCTTACACAATCACCGAGGTCCGACCATACGGGTCAATGATGATTCAAGATGGTGACCAAACACCATTTCTTGTAAATGGTCACCGTCTCAAAGCATATATGGAGTACCACATCACTTTGGCAAGTGGCAACCACTGCATGCCAATTGGAAGAATAAAGGTACGTTGCGTCCAGCCTATGACGTTAAACTGAGCGCTAATTGGGAGGCAACCCAACAAAAAAAATCAATTATAAACAAATATGTTTGGTCATATACATATTCATTTTTATTTATAAATTGAACAAAAATTAATTATAAATAAATCTGTTTATAAACATTCACATTTATTTATAATTGAAAACAAAAAAAAAACTAGTAACCGGCGCCGGTCGGGCCTTTTAACCGGTGCCGTACGTTTACAGAAAGTTGATGGTGTTGGCATCCACGCATAACCGACGCCGGACACACCCCAACCGGCGTCGTACGTTTAGATTTATTACAGTACTTTTTACTCTTGAAAATCATTCCCAAAAAGAAACATTGTGACTAGGAAACATCATCTTCTTTCATCTCCCAAAATGGTTTAGGTACATCTCAAATATTCAAAAAAATATTTTGGAATACAAGCCACCCATATATCTCATCAAATAATTTGGGACTATCAAATGACTTTCAGTAAATACTTGTTGAGAATCATTCCGAATGAGTTTAAAAAAAAATAGCTCATGGTCTCTTCCAAGAATTTCAATTGATCCATTTCTATACTGAAAAGTCAAAATTCCCAAAAGAAAACCATTCTACACATCCAAAAAGCCCCAGTCACAAGCCACTTATCAATTCAAGAGTATAAATAATTTTTCTAAATCTATTGATATTTTTATGTGTGTAATAGAAAAAGGATTTTGAACCGAGAATGATAAAAGAGTCCATATACGTTTTTTATCTCTCTTAAAAGCAAAATTATTCTTGTGCATATATTTTTGTTGAACTAACAAAGGCATCCAAAGGTCACAACATTGCTCGAGGACTAGCAACGCTCAAGTGTGGGGGAATTTGATAAGCTCAATAATTACTTATGTTTTACATAGGTAATTATATTTATCTGTACAAAAATATAGAGCGAAAACAGGTAAATATTCCAAAGTATTCAAAAATGTGGAATATGCCTAGGAGCGACAAATACGGGGTCAAAAGTCAAAAGAGATTGAAAATCGGAACTTCTGGATAAATCGCGGACATCAAATTGAGAAGAAGAAGCAAGTAAACATTTTGACGCAGTGACCGGCGCCGGTCCCCTGATAACCGGCGCCGGTTGGATCTTAATTTTCGAAAAAATATATTCATGACCGGCACCGGTCAGGCCAGAACCAGCGCCGGTTGGGTCGATTTGCTGCTAAAACACAGCAACATGCAAGCTTATTCTTGATGGAAAAACTCCATCTTCCTCATTGTTGATCAAATATTGCCTCCATACCTGATTGTTGGGCTCGAATAGACTAAAAGATGTCATTCTTTAGCCTATATAAAGTCTTCAATTCATCAAACAAAGGCATCTCATTCCATAGATTAATTCCTAGTTTTTATATTTGTTCTTGCTATTTTTCTTCAAGTTCTTTTGGAGAAGAAGCTATTTCTCTCCTCTACAATTGGTTCTAGGTAATTTTTTTGTATGTTATTTTATTTCCTTGTTCTTGTTTACACTTTTGTAATTAATACGAGCATTAGTAGCTAATTTCTTAGCTATAGCTGGGGATGGACTTCTATGTCCATTAGGTGTTTGATAAAAGTTCTAAACCCATAAATTGTGATTTATCCTTTATATATTGATTGTTTATGACTATGGTGTACAACATAGAAGTATGTTAAATTTTGTTTATACTTGCAATTAACGTTGAAGTCCAAACTATGAACATTAAAGGATAAACATATATAGTACCGAGAATAGAAATATATCCGGTCTTATATGATACGAGTGTGATGTCTTGATATTCAAGGGGGTTTTTGGTAGATGAATGTAAGCTGTAACGGGACTTACACGTAATGAAAACCACGCTTTCGCTGCCTTAACCAGAGTTGAGAATATATTAGTGACATCGTATTAATAATTATTGGCAAAGAACTAATATTCAACCCTATTCAAGCATTTAAGTGATTCCCGAAGCCTTAGTTGTTATTATCATTCATCTTAAACTCAAAATTAGCTAACGATTATCTTCTTAAACAAAAAGTGAAAAGCCAAAAAATATAAAACACAAATCAAAATCCATACACTTTACTCATTTATTTATTTATAGTCATCTACTCTCGGACTAAATTAAACAATGTTTCCTTGTGGATTCGACCCGGTATTTTACCGGAATTTATTACTATATCGGCACTTGTACACTTGCAAGTTTAACCCGGTCATTGAGTTAGAGTAAAATTCTTGTGTTTGCAGTTTTTAATAATGTGACCAATTTTTTTGCAGCTAATGTTGAATAAAGGGAATTCTTCATAGGTAACAGTTTGAAAAAAAACACGAAGAGTCATGACCAATTTAGAATTTGGATGGTAGGCCGGCAGAAACATCCACCTCAATGCACATCCTTGCCATGGACGACTGGGGTAGCCTTAGGGTAGATACATCAATTTTAATCGGTTTTCCTATCAGACTAGCAACTAAAAAAAAAAATATTTTTTCCGAATAAATGAATGGAAAGCTTGTCCAGGAAGATCCAAATCAGAGTTATAGCCGATTCAGTGTTTGGCATGAAATCACAGGTTCGTATTGTGACCATGATTTCAAAACCATGAAAGACCAAAGTTTTTTATTTTGATTAATCCCAGCCATGCAAAGACTTAATCTGATGCACAATAAACCTTATTTGATGTACTTTTTTAGTATTTACAAAAATGTCACAATGTCCAAATGTTGGAAAAGTGCATCAGATAAGATTTATTTAAAAGAGCGATAAACAAGGGTTATTGTACATCAGATTGATAGTTTGGACAAATGAGATTAATTCTTATTGTACATGTTAAGGCTTCTTTTTATTTGAAACATCCTCTGTATAGTGGTTTACAAAAAGAGTTAATCACACTTTTAGTCCTACAAATTTTATGTCAATTTAACATTGAGTCCTTATCTTTTGCTTTATCCGCTTTTGGTACTTGAGTAATGTTTCTTGATCCTTTATGGTCCTTTGGTACAACTTTGTGATGTCTGTCTGACGACTTTAACCATCAGAGATATCGACAGAATAATTCTATATGAATGAAAAGTAATAGTCATGTACTAAAAATGGTCAAAGTCAAAGACATGTGTCAATTATGAAGTTGGTGCAATATTCGTAGGATAAAAAGTAGAATTGTTTCTTTAAAAAATATGACCTTCTAAGTGCAATGACTATATTTGTAAATAAACATAGTGCACTAACGTTAAATAAACTAAAATATACGTAGTATATTATTGTGATTTATTACATTAATTCGAACCTCTTTTGATAACCCATTTGATAATCTATATATTTTCAGTTTGTCATCTGAGTCAACTTTTTTGACAAATACGTAACCTTTGATTGTAACGTTTAATAATCAGAATAAGTAAAACTGGAATTACGACATTTATGATTGAATTAGCTAAAGCTATGGGGACATTTGAACTATTTTTCATACTACGTATAATTTTTCTTTATTTTTTAAATAAAATAATATAGCATGTTCAAACGATTCAATTGCTTAAACAAATTTTTTACTATGTATCAATTTCATTAGATTCAACCAATTAACCAATTAAGCTGATTTTATTTTTACAAACGGAATCCTAATTGCATAGTTATTTTTAAAAGAAAACTTTGCATGCAAAAGTATTCCAGATAATTTAAACAAGAGGTAAGAAAAAGAAGGAATGAAGATTAAAAAAATACAATCAATTGGTTTGACTTGAAAAGCACATGGTTCTTAGTACTTGAACCTTTTTGCATGCACAGTCTTCACTTTGGGAGATGGAAAATTAAAGCTGATTGGGTGCATGTATGTAGCTAGCTACTAGCACAGGATCCATGACCCCATATGTTGCCTGCTTTAACTCATCAGTGCTCTGCAAAAAACCGAGCACTTTTGTGGACAGCAAATTGGAATCAGATCGCGACTGATAGATGGCTTCTTCCTTCGATCTTTTAACTTTCTCATCCGGCCTAGCCTAAAGCAAACAGCAAAATCTAAAAGAAGCAAAGGTGTGGGAGGGTGGGTTAAGCTAAGAGAATCTTTAATCCATGTGCATCATGTAAACAACAGGTAACACACAAATAAAATGAGAAAATTGCTAAAATTTGGACCAAGAAAATTGCTAAAATTGTAACAAAATGGGAGGCCCTACAACGTAGAATCGACTGTACCGTGCACACTGTACAACCAGATATTTTATGTTAAAAGAAATGAATCTAAAGTCTAAAAGAAACGAGTATTAACACTAAATCAATATTTTGGTAGCACAATTGAATATTAGAAACATGCAACTGAATATCATGATCTACACGTAATACATATGCTACATATCCATTTATCTATTTGACTATATTATCATTGAATTATCATCAAAATATTTATTGTGCTAATTTTAAAATTTAATACTAATACTCATTTTTAAAGGGTATACTCTTCTTTTAACATTAAATACCCGGTTATACCGTGTGCACGGTACAACCAGTTGTACGATATATTTTGCCACTAAATGGTTATATTAAAAAAAGATTTCATTAATATTACTCTTGAAAAAGTAGTGGACAAAAATGTGAATTAGTCATAATGATTACATGTAATTACTATAATGTAAGTCACATCATAATATTTTTTAACACAACTATAGTCACCGATAAGTACGTAATAATAGTTAGTGAGTTACATTTTTATATAATTTTTTATTAGTGAATTTCAGAAAAAAACTCTATATTTAAACACATCGCATAACTAAACTTTTTAACATGTAATCTAATTTAAAATTAAAGAAGTTAGTACTATCATATTTAGAATATAACATTCAACTTTATGTAATTATTACTCTGTAGGAGCCGCTTCTTCATGTCTCCCATCTGGTCTAATCTAATCTGCTCTGCTCTATATAAATCTGGTTTGGTCTGGTCTAATCAGGTACACATCTGATCTCGGTGTACTTTATAATTGAATTGGCAGAGTCTGATCTAGTCGGTTCAAGTCTAGTCCATTTAAATCTGAACTTATCTATTTTGATTTGGTCTTATCTAGAAATTAAATAAGTTCAAATAAAAACATTTATCGAAATAAGTCCAAATAAAAACATTTATCCAAATTACAGTTTTGCATATCGGTTTCTCATAGCATAGTCGTGAGTGAACATGAAATTTATACCTAGTACTATAGTCTATAGATAATGTATAAGATTATATATCTAAATATTAATCTTCTAGATGCCTCTTCTTCTCTTTAGAGAGATTAACCATATCGATAGTCTCCCCTCTTTGTAGGGGTTGAGATTTTCCGCTGTCCTTATAAACATGGGGTTGGAGCAACAGATTATACTGATTTTAAGTGTTCTAACGCTTGGGATTGCAACTACGTCGGAGGAGATAGCGTTAACGGATGAACGAGGTGCGGCTAGGAGGTTGTATCGAGACTGGATTGTGAAGTCATGGTCGGCCATTCTGACGGTGGTGGAGTTGGTACTCACCCATATTGCAAGAGCTTGTCCTCCTCCGGAACCACCTCCATACCAGGAAGAGCTTTGTGGAAAGATTTTATTTCAGTGTTATTTTCTCTTTAGTAGCATTTTTTTTCTTTAGCCCGAGTACATTTGGCTTGAATGTTTGGATTTTTGGAGTTCTTTTGATGAGCAGGGTTTCGGTTCCGATCGTTTTAGGCCTAGATTTGCCCGTTGAAGGTTTAGTGAGTCATGTTGCTTTGTATGAGGTGACTGACTCTAAGTCTACTCTAAGATTCAAGATTGAATCTGTAAATTCTGTCTGAATGTTGTCTTGTATGTGTTCTCGATTTTAATATAACGGCAGCTCTTTTTTATAAAAAAAAATTATATATCTAAAAACTAAACTAACATGATATCTAATGACAGGAATTTGACTAATGTTCAATATATAAAATGAAGAATTTTTCATTTGTATAATCAGGGGCGAAGCCAGCACACTGGGTCGGACTGTGCGGGTAGAAATAATTTTTTTCTTTGAAAAAATTTTACACAGAATATTTACACTAAAAGTTTAGATATTTTTCAAATTTGGGTTGGGCCGGGACCAGGGTTGGCCCCGTAACTACGCCCCTGTGTATGATTGATCTATGTTTAGACGTTTAATCATATATATCTATCAAACTAAACAATTCCAAGTCTTATCTGTCAATTTTTTCATTAAACACGTAATTTGTGATTTCGCGCACTGAATTGTGTAATAATAAGAAAAAATAAGGTTTAATTTCTGGTTGTATTGGCTGAGGTTCATATAATAAAATATATTTTAAATATAATGTTTTCATAAATCAACATAATCAAATAATTCAAGAGAAAATTCCGTGGATAGGAGTAAATAAGCTACAAAATGCATAAATAGGAGTCTACTTTTTAATAGGAGTTAAAATAACATGAGTTGACCAATTTGTCCTTAAAAATTAGCAGATGCGTTTTTTATGGGATTCAATAGGTTATCAAGAACAGGGCCCCCGAATTTATAGAAACCCAAATATTTCAATTTCTTTTAGTATTATATAGTAAGGAGTAATATTATATATTAATACTAAACAGTAAAATACAATTAGTAAGGAAGAAAATTATAGATCCATTATTTTATTCATTGGTCCTTTTACTCTTGGTTCTCTTTAATAAGTATTCAATTGATTTGAATATAAGTACTTGGATTGATATTTTTTAATAAACTTTTTATATTAGTTTGGGGTCCCGATTTTACACTTAGAACTGGGGCCTCCAAATTCATTAGACGGCCCTGAAAATTAGAAGCTCTAACAGTTGCAGGCATCTCCTCCGCATGGGCATGTATCTCACCAAAACCATTCACCACCATGGAGTAACTGCTGCAGACATCTCCTCCTCCACCGGCCGCCAGCTGTCGGAGATCTGACGACCTTGGACAGAACATCTAGAATCCCGTTGTTTCCAGTCACCGGAGATCTGATGATGCAAAAAAAATCAATTTTTTTCCTCAGCCATCTGCCGCCACCTCAATTGCCACCGCCGGCGGTGGCGCCTCCACCACCACCATCAGTGTCTCTACCACCGTCACCGCCACAGCCGCCTCCACCACCACCATCAGCCACCTCTGGCACCGCCGCCTACACCACCACAGTAGATCTCAGATCTGATTTCGAATCTGGTATAACTACCAGTCAATTGCCATCTTACAGTTGTAATGCCATCTTAATGGTATTATTGTTATTCTGACATAAATAAGATGACATTTTCAATTAAAAAACATGGCATTAATGTATTAACAAATGACAAGTATTGTTATCTTTATTACATTAATTCCATACCAACGAAAAACATGGCGCTAGAGTTGTTGTATTCTAGGAGTAATATTGCAATCTTCAAATGATACTAGAAAAGTTCCAGAAAAAATTATTGAGTTATTTCAATTTTTTTAATTGACATTGTTTAGATTGAAAAATCCCAAAAATAAATTATAAAAATATCGAAATTAATAAAAACAACTAAAAATTCTGCAAATAATAAAAAATAGAGATGGTGGTGGGGGGAAGAAGAACAACAAGAAGAAGAAGAAAAGGGAGGGGGAGGAGGAGAAGAAAAAGAAGAACAAGAAGAAGAAGATCCAATCGTACTTGGATGTTGTTCACTTGTGGACATTCACTTTAAAGATGAAGAAGATGACTGAAACTTACCAACGGCCTGCTGCCCGCCGCTCGCCGCCGCCGCCGCTGCCCGCCGATGGCAGGAGATGTTGAGAAAATTCACCACCTATACTTCTGTAATTCATCGAATATGGGGTGAAACTAAATTGAGATAATAAATTGAAAAGAGGTTATTATAGAATGAAAGACGATATGAAATTGAGATCCAAAGAAAAAAAGTTGCAGGGGAAAGGTGAGAAGAGAGGAGATATGCGAGAGAGATAAAAGGGAAAAGTGGAAAGAAAAGAAAGTGGTGGGGAGATATGAGCGATGAAGATAGGATGCGGAAAGGGCATAATAGGAAGCCTACTAAAATTAGTCTTACTTAAGCAATAAATAAAATATAACTCCTACTTTAGAAGTTTTTTAATTATTTAGTCCTATTTAGATCAAATACTTCTAATTCAATCATAAGAAATTACCCTTAATGGGAGTTAAACATATGGAAAGTGCATTAATAGGAGTTCTTTAGCTAATTTCCCCAAATAGGAGCTGTTGTCTGCCGCCATATGTTATTTTTTTATTTTCTTCCTTAAATGCCCTTACTTTACACGGAAGCATTGCCACATAAGTAACCTGTTTCTAACCGTTTCTTCTGGTTGGAGATTTCCGCTGCGCAGCATTCTTAAATTTTTTTTCCTGCGATTAACATTCTTAAGCATCGTCTTGGTTCTGTTCTCTCTTCCGACTTGCCATTGCTTCTGATTTTGCGAATTTAGGTGTTTTCATTGGCATTACGCATACTTGTGCCCTGCGTTTTCCGCAGGTAAGCTTACTACTTGATTTTCCGGAATAATGATTACATCTTTCATCGAATGTTCTTCTAATATTACTGAATGCTGATGATATGTAATTGTGCATATATGTGTTTCGTAAATTAATTCTGATAGTTTCAGTTTAGTTTTGATGTAATTCGGATTTGTTTTATGATTTTTTTGGTTTGTAAATTTCTTGTGTAAGAATTTTGATTTGTGTTGTTCAATTGGTGATTTACATTGTGATTCGATGTTGTTTGATTATCGTTTTAAATTTTTCCATAACTTCATTTGTTTTGTGTGATTGTTAGCTACTCTTTGGTTGGCATTAAATGTCATAATAACAGTTTTGCTGTACTGATTCATGTATTATGTTGTCTTGCTGAACTTTTCATTATTTTTTAGGCATTAATTTCTACAAATGGCTGATATGTTGCTTGTTATGCTTAAGTTGAACGGTACATGGTTGTCTGATTATACATTTTCAAGTTTGGATACATTTGGTATTCATATTGGACTTCATTCTTCCTACACAAGCTTGCTTGATCTGCTGCGTGGAATCTTTAATCAGTACAAACCAAATCATTCATTCAGGATTTCTTATATTGTTGATGGTTGCCCCCCTCCTGTTTTTATTGTTGATGATGAATCTTTGAAATTCTATCTTTATATGAAGTGTTTGCAGTCGGATGTTGCAAAGTTACCACTATGTGTGGAGTTTAAGTCTGAAACTGTTTCTGTGCTTCATGACTTTGTACCACTTCATAACTCACTTGTACATGGTTCTACTACATCTTCATTGTCTTTGCATGTGAGTGACTCTGATTGTAGTAATCAAGGGAATGGGTTGCATAGCAGTTTGGCTTCCATTGATGAAGAAGATGAGTTTTCCTCTTCCTCAGAAACCAACATTTCATCCTCAACTATTTTGCCTAATTTTTCTGGTATTGGTTCCAAATCATTATCCTTACAGCATGCCTCTGTGAACCACCCTGTTGACGTAATTAGTCATTATCATCCAACATGTGTTATGATTAATGGATTTAATGCTATTTACACGAACAAGGCTGACTTACTTCATCATTTAAAGTTGTATGTCATCACCAACAGTTTCCAATTCAGAACTCTGACATCAAGGAAGAAAGAATTACACATTATTTGTTTGGATTCGTCGTGTGAGTGGGCAGTTCGTGCAGTCAGATTAGATGGTGTACAAATGTTTGAGATTAGAAGGTATGTTGTCATGCTAACTTATATCTAATATTGTTTTTGTTTTTCTCATTATTATTTTTGTATTATGTGATCACATTTTGTTCTTTGTCTTCAATTGCATTTATGAACAGTTATCTATTGTTATCGTTACAGGTTTGATGCTGTACACACTTGCTCTGTTGACTATAGGCAATTTAATAGTAGACAGGCAACATCTAGTGTTATTGCTAATCTTGTGGCACACAAATTTTTGGATGCTTCTGTTAAACCTTATACGCCAAAACAGATTAGGCATGATATGAATTTGGAATATGGGATTTCTATGTCATACAAGAAAGCTTGGGAAGCACAAAAACGTGCAAAGGAAAGGCAGTTCGGATCTGATGCAGAGTCATACCAGAAGCTACCTTCAATGGCGTATGTTCTTGAAGAAGCAAATCCAGATTCTACCATAAAACTTGTAACTGTTGCTGATGGTGCATTTCAGTATTTTTTCTTTTCACTAAAACCTTGGCGTGAATCATGGGAGTTTTGTAGACCTGTACTTATCTTAGATGGCTCGTTCATGAAGGCATATTACAAAGGCACTTTGCTTACTGTCTGTGCTCAAGATGCCAACAACCACATCGTTCCCTTGGCATTTGCAATCTGTGATTCTGAAACCAAAGCATCTTGGCTATGGTTTCTAAGCAGGTTGAGTGGTTCAATCTCTATGCGAAGCGATATGTATATAGTCTCTGATCGCCACAAAGGCTTAATCTCTGCTGCTGCAGAAGTCTTCCCCCATGCTCTTCATGGGTTTTGTGTTGAACACCTGAGGCGTAATTTGATTTCAAAATTCAGAGGTGGTGCCAATGGTCTTGGATGGAAGTTTAAAGTTGCTTATTCAGCAAACACTATGCAAGAACTTGAGGAATATTTGTCAATGTTGGACACAGAAGATGCTAGAATCCGACCTTGGTTAAGTAAAGTTGGTAACCATAGATGGGCTAAGTGTGTTGCTGGTCCACGCAGATATGGCATCATGACATCAA